TTGTGCTTACTCTCTGTCAAATAAATAAAATTTTAAAAATAAACAAATAATAAAAAGAATAAAAATAATAAAAAGAATGGGCAAGAGAGGGAAGAGGGAAGAGAAGAACACAAAAGAGTAAGTGCCAAAGGGAAGAGACTCAACTGAAATCCAAACTGGGTAACAGCAAACCCATCAGTCAAGTTTGTTTTTTTTTTTGTCTTTTTTTTTTTTTTTAAGATTTTTATTTTTCTAAGTAATCTCTATAGCACAGCACAGTCAGGTATTCTTACTGACAAGCCCACAGCTAGCTTACCTGCTCCAGTGTAGGTTTCCGGCTACCCATGTTGTCACCGTGCAGTGCTCTAACAACTCAAACTAACTTCGAACCCCAGAAGTCACCACTTAATCATGTGAGGAAGAAGAAAAATAGAGCATCTGAAAAAGCTTCATAGATAGGAATTTTAAAGAGCTGGGGCTCTGTTACTTAAGAGTCACGAGGACGTGAAAAAGAACAGTTCTGATTGTGTGTGGGAAAATGTCATTTAGACCAGTGCTTCTCCAAATACCGTCTTCGGTCTTGTGGCACCAGGGTCGCTGGGCGGCTTATAATGCAAATTTTCAAGGCCAGATTCTGATCTACGGAGTGAGAATCATGGAGGGTCGGGCCTGGCTGTTTGCTTTAACAAGATCTCCAACAGATCGTAAGAGACTCTTAATCTCACAAAACTGAGGGTTGCTGGGCGGTGGGAGGGGTAGGGACGGGGTGGTTGGGTGATGGACATTGGGGAGGGTATGTGCTATGGTGAGTGCTGTGAAGTATGTAAACCTGATGATTCACAGCTTGTACCCCTGGGGCTAATAATACATTATATGTTAATAAAAATAATTAATTAAAAAAACAAGATCTGCAGATGATTCTTTGGTGCACTGAAGCGTCAAAGCACTGATTCAGACCATCGTTAGTCAAACTGCAGATTACAACCCATTAGTGGGTTGTAAAATCAATTCAGTAGGCAGTGACCAGCATTTTACAAAAGTGAAATGGAATACAGGGGGAAGTGGAGTACATCCCATGGTTCATGGATTATGAGCTCATAAAACTTGTTTCAGTTCTAGATTTGGATGTACACCCATGTGTACTGATTTAAATGAAACAGCACTTTGAATTTTTGAAGAACTGGTAGGGTATAATAAGAAGAGACAAATTTTATGTGAAGCCAGATCTGTTTGGTTGATGATAAAACACATTGACAGCTTAATGTGGATTCCTGTTTGGGGGAAGGAAGAGGGCCAAGGAAAGAACATTACAAGCCAAGGTTTTCTAACTCCAGAATCCTCATGGGGAAAGAATCAAAAAGGCCTACCCAGAGAGAAAAGGGGGAGAGGGCATATGCCACATAGGAGATGTCAGGGAGGATAAGTATAAGATAAGGTCATGTGTGACCTTCAAGAAACAATCATGTAAGAATATTCATTCATTCATTCATTTATTCATTCACAGATCATTTCTTGTCCATCAGAGGTGTCAGGCACTGTGTTAGGTGCCGGGGTATAGGATGGATATGAAGCCTCTCTTGGACCGCACTGTTTAGTGACAAATAAGCAAGATCAACAGCATGATCAATGCTGAGAAGGAAGCATTAATATAACACTTAGTGGGAATGCTGAAGTCAGTCTGAGATGGTGTGATCGGAGTGGGGTCACAGGGGACATCCATATGGAGAGGGCATTTAATCAAAAATGATGATCACATCTTAATATGGTATTCTTTTTTTAAACTAACCAGTGATTATCTAGATCAGTGTTTTTCAAACATTAGTGGGCATCAGAACCCTGTAGAGGGTTTATTCAAGCACTTTTTGATTCAGTAGGTCTGGGGTGGGGGTCTGATAATCTTTCTTTTTTTTTAAGATTTTATTTGACAGAGAGAGGGATCACAAGTAGGCAGAGAGGCAGGCAGAGAGAGAGGGGGAAGCTGGCTCCCTGCCGAGCAGAGAGCCCAATGCGGGGCTCCATCCCAAGACCCTGAGATCAGGACCTGAGCTAAAGGCAGAGGCTTAACCCACTGGGCCATCCAGGCACCCCATAATCTGTCTTTCTGACAAGATCCCAGGCAATGCAGATACTGTTAATCTGGAGCCTGTTCTTTGAGGATTGCTTATCTACATGGCTAAATTAAGAGTTCTGTTAGATGGTATTTCTAGAAACACAATTTAAAGTAGATAGAATTTAGCTGATCTGCATGCACACAAAAAAATTGTTTTTCTTTACCACATTTTGATGGCTTAATAATAGTAACTGTCACTAGAAATTTTTCATCTAACTTAACTTTTATTGTATAGTGTTTCATTAAGATTTAATATCTAGCTTAGATATCTGACAGGCAACTGTTCTTGTGTGTGGCAAAGATATGCTTGCTATGTGCTTGACAAAATATTTCCTTTTTTCCCCCTGGGTACGCACATAAGACCCCATTTCCTGGCCCCTTTCCAGTTGAGTTAGAACATGTGACCGATTTCTGCCAGCATGGATACTGGGGAGAAGGGATGCAAACCTTTCCACACTTGGCTGAAACTTCTCTTAATGTCTGCCCTTTTGCTTTGGCCAGCCAGGTACACTGGATTTAGAGAAGGGCTCTGTGAGCAGTCTGGGAGCCTGCTTAGCCACTGTATAAGAGCCTGGGTCCCTGAGCCACCACTTGAAGAGAAACCCAAGATTGCCACCCAGATGGGGAACCATCTGAAGGGAGATGAGAGAGCAGACCAGGTGAGCTCACAACGGGTTTTCCCAGCATCACGGCCCTCAAGTTTAGCAGTTGGATTCCACTGTGTAGCTTAGCTTGTCTTGACTAATGCTTCGCCTGGCACCAAGTAACACAAAACACATATTTTATGAGCTTCATAATCAGCTTCAATTTCTATTCTCCTATGTCCAACATTCAGCCTGTAAATGACTTTCTGGCCACTCATTTATTCAACAAATACTTAACCTAGAGGCTACTGTGTGCCAAGCACTGCCAATGGTGAGCAAAAAACTAAAACTAAAACTAAAACTAAAACAAGACACACGCCTTCCATGCTCTCAGGGAATTTAGTCTGGTGAGGAAGGGACATAAATCAAACAATTGTTCAGACATACGTAAAATTTCAGCTGTTGTGGATGATGTGAATGTTAGAAGCCTGGTGCTATCAGGGGATTTCTTTTTCCTAATTAGGAATAAATGTTGAGTGCTTTAAGGTGTAACTACCATCTGAGTAAAAATGATTTAAAAATAAAACTAAGTTTGGATGTGATGAAGCAAAATATAATTAATTCTGAAGACGACTAAGAGCCATACAGTTTTTATCATTAATCTTTTCATTTAATAGCTTTAACTACTGCATGGCATTTGCTCCATATTATAGTAACCTAGACTTTTAAAATTCATATCTAATGAGGACTGTGAAATCCTTTAACTTACCAATTGTTAGCTCCTCAGAGACTTGCAAAAGTCCTTTATTCATTTTTTTTTAAATAATAGTGTGTTACTTTTCTATATTCCTTCCGAACCAGAGTTTTACACCGAAGGCCTCATTCAATAAAAGTTAAATCAGATCAAATCACTAAATACCTTCTTGAATTCTGAGAACTTGTCATTCTGGTTACCACTTTAACCTTTCAAATTTTTCTCTGCTTACCAAGTGTCCAATGGTTTCAGTAAGCCCATACACAGGATGAAAGAATTTTTAGATTTGCATTGAGTAGATTTGTTTTTCCATTTCTCTCTCTCTATATATGTATATATATGCACACACTAATCCACTGATAAACATATGCATACATATACATTCTGAGATGTTTTATATATACACACAATACATCTATATCTATACATATATTCTTTACTTTTGTTTGAAAATTTAATTCTCATACTTGAATGATGAAAATCATTACATAAATGACATTACAAATGTGGAAAAAAGATGGTATTTATTTTTGGAGTTCGTACAAAAATACCAGTTGCTATTATTTTCATATAGTGGACACTTCAGGAACTTTCACAATGTATATCCAGACCATGCTCTGACACCAAGATACTGTATCACACTTAGAAACGAACCGAGGAGAATTTTGCTACATTCCATTTTAGAGAAATTACAGGATTTTATTATTTTTATTATTTATTTAAGTAATCTCTACACCCAAAGTGGGGCTTGAACTCACCAACCCAGAGATCAGTCTCAGGCTCAACTGAGAGCCAGCCAGGTGCCCCTAGAGAAATTACAGGGTTTGAAAGCTGTCGGTGCCCTAGGTCAGGAAATTAAAGTCCAGAAAGGTAAAGTTTGCACATTGCACCGTGATTTAGTTCTGATCCATCCTAAACCGAGACCCCAGATCTCCTAAATCAGGTGCAGATTTCTCTGCCCCCACGCTTTTTGCCTTAAAACTGAAGGTCAGGCTGCATTATCTTTAGTTCTTCCAACTGCGCTTCCTCCACGGTCAGTTTTATGGGGTAAGTCTAATTAAGATCGAGTTGACGTCTGCATCCTTTGTTATTTATGTTTCCGCGTTTCTTAAGTCTTTTATCAACATTGCTGAGCTTCTGTTTTATTTAAAAAACACACTCCGAGTAACACCAACCAGCAGGTTAACACCCACCCAAACTGGAGGGTCAGGACCCAGGACACAGCCATTCTCAGCCCCAGCTGAAAAAACGAGAAGTTTACTGACGCGGTCTAATCCAGGGTCCCGAGGCCACGTGCGAGAGGAGGGGCCGCCTTTTGGTTGGCGCCCCGAGGGGCTCCGTCCCTCCAATCGGCTTAGGCCCCGCAGTGAAGGAGGGGGCGCGCCCTGGGGGAGGGGGCGGGGCCGAGGACCTGTCCATCACCGGGTCCACGGGAGGCGGCACCTACCACACCGCTGTACCTTGGCGAGGCGGGGCCGGGGAGGGAAGGCCGCGGCCGGGAGAGGCGGGGCCCAGCCGGCGGAAGCCAATCCGCGGGGCGGTGCGAGGGGGCGGGGGTGGGGCCACCGCCTGCGACCCAAACACCCGAGTCCGGGTGCACTTTGGAGTCGCGCTGCTCCTCGGCCTTCCGGTGCGAGGGCCGGGGAACCTCCTCCCCCACTGGGCACCCCCACCTTCGTGGCCCAGAACCTCCCCGCTTCCGCCCCTCCTTCGCAGGGGGCAGTGCGGCGACGGTTGCCGGGAAGCGCGCGCCGCCCCTCCCTCTCCTCGTCCATCCTCCCCTCACGCGCCACCCGTTTTTCCTCTTTCTCCGTTAATAACAGCTGGGTGGCTGGGGGAGGAGGGAAGGTGGCCCCGGCGGAGTCTGGGCGGGCGCCTCCCACTCACCCGCGAGCTGCCGTGTGAGCCGGAGGATGGCGGCGGTAGCTGCGGCCGCCCGGGAGGAGGCGGTACCGAGGCCCGGGGCGCAGAGAGCGGCGACGGCAGCAGAAAGCGGCAGCGACCCGTCGCGGCGCACCAGAACCGAAACCAGCGGCAGCCGCACAGCCACCTGAGCCGCCCCTCCCTCCAGAGCTAACGAGCTGCGTCCGCCGCAGCCCGACCTCCTTCCTCTCCGCCTCTCCTCGTTTCCCGCGACCTCCCGCAGGCCGCCGGTCTCGCCCCCCGCCCCCGAACACAAGAGCGCCCCGGGCGCCGACCGCCCTTCGGGGCGCGGGGCGGCGGCCCTGGACGTGCGGGCTTCTCCTTGCGCCGGCCGCGGCGCCTTGGCCCTGCCCGCTCGCTCCTGCGCTCGCTCCCGCCCTCCCGGCGCTCGGGGCGCCGCGCGCGGGCCCGGCCCGGGGCAGGGCGGCCATGGGCGCCAAGCAGAGCGGCCCGGCCGCTGCTAACGGCCGCACCCGCGCCTATTCGGGCTCGGATCTACCTTCCAGCAGCAGCGGAGGCACCAATGGGACCGTGGGCGGCGGCGGCGGCAGCAGCGGGGCGCGGGCCGTGGCCGCCGGGAGGTTTCCGGCTCAGGTGCCCGGCGCGCACCAGCCCAGCGCTTCGGGCGGTGCCGCGGCGGCCTCAGCGGCCCCGCGCAGTCGCTCCCTCGGCGGGGCCGTGGGGAGCGTGGCGTCGGCGGCCCGAGCGGCGCAGTCCTCCTTCAGCATCCCCAACAGCAGCAGCGGCCCGTACGGCTCGCAGGACTCGGTACACAGCAGCCCCGAGGACGGCGGCGGCGGCAGAGACCGGCCGGCGAGCGGGGGCCCCGGCGGGCCGCGTCTGGTGATCGGCTCCTTACCAGCTCATCTCTCGCCGCACATGTTTGGAGGTACGGCTCCCTCCCCTCCCCGGCCTCTCGCGGGCGGCACGTGGGCCGCGGCCGCGCTGGAGTTTACCTTTCTCCTTTTCTCCTTCAGCCTGAGCGCCGCGGCTTTGCCGCGCTGCGCGACCGGCTCACCCCTGTGGGAGGAAAATCGCCGCTTAACCCCGGCGGAGGGGCTCCCGCTGCTCCCCGGGCTTTGCTTTCTTTAGACAACGGGTGTAACCCCCCGCCCCGCCTTGCCCCTCCTCACAGTGGCTGCCCAGTGCAAGAAGCCCTTGCTTTTCCCCCTTGGGGTGGACGGAGCAAAGATTGTTTTTCAAACAAACCGATGCAACAGCCCTCGTGGTGGTAGCTTTCAGTATCAGGAAGTCAGGAGAAGACTGGTGGCCAAACGTAGTTCTACCTGGGGACCCAAGCGGTGAGCATTTTTAAAGGCCAGGAGGTCAGAGGGTCTCAAAGAACATAAGAGTGTTTGAAAAAGGAGGGAGTTACCTCCTTTGGACTGTTACAGTGAAGCTGTAATCCTTACGTCTCTGTAAATAGCCCCACCTACTGCATGGCGTTTAATTGGTTGAATGTGTGATGGAAAATGTAATTTTGACCCGAGTGAACTGCTACTTTAGATAAGGGTTAGTATGAGCCCCGCTTAATTTGGACAGGGCATTTTAAAAATTTAAAGCAGTGTCTTAAAGAGACGCTACATAGGGAAACTGCCAAAAGCATAGGTTCTTTTGAAAAGCAGTGTTGACTACGAGTTCAGGAAAAGTCACTTGTGATAAATGGAAATTTTTAATAGCAAAATGATGTGCTTTGATGTAGAAACAGGAAGGGTGCACTTGATCTGAGGAAACGGAATTTGGCCTCTTCAGTTAACGTCCAGGACTGATTTACTTTACCTCAAACGGTTAATACCCTAAACGAATCAAAACAGTTCTCCCTTCCCAGTTCAGGAGAAGAAATTGGAAGTTTTATCTGGTTAGGTAGGCTGACTATAGAAGAAAAACATCCCCGTATCACTGCTTTATTGTATTATATAAATTCACAAGTGAGCACAGCTGGAACAGTGAGGAAATGGTTCCCTCCATTTTTGTGGCCCTTTTTTTCATATGTTTATATATGTGAGAAATGGAGTTGGTGAAGAATGTTCAGTAATGTTAATTTATCTGTTCTGATGTTCTCTGTAGTATCAGTATTTATGTTAGCATATTGAAAATGGGAATGTCGTGCTTAGTTTATGTTTTTAATGTTGCTTTGCACATTCAGTGTAGAACAACTATAAACTACTTTATTCCAATTGTTATAATTTTGCTGCGTAAAGAAAAATACTGATATTTTCTAAAGTTGGGCCATAAAAAAAAATTGTTTTTGAGAAAAAGAACTAGTGCTGTCCTTACTGTGATTGAATCGTAATTAACACAGTTGAAGATTATTTTGATCTTAATTAACACAGGCGTAGTCACTAAACTGAGGAATAACAAAAGACAGTTTCTTGAGAATGGGAGCTTAGTTCATTTATAAAGGATAAGCTGGTTTTTTAAAATACTTTTTAAAGTGAAAATTTGCATTTAGCCGTTATGATCAAAAGATGTTTATAAAAGCTTGCTAAAGGAATGAGAAAAAGCTTGTGAAATTAGTATCTTACTACAATATACTGCTTGCTTAAAGGGCTGATAATTTAACAAAGAGTTTATCTGTATGGGTTTATTTTCTGAAAATAAATACCTTCCATTCAGAGCAGGCGGCAAATATTTGACACTTAGGATTTTAATTCATAGTAAATTAGCAAATGACAAAGACCTGGTTTGTAAAAGTAGAAGTAGAGCAAATTTATCTTTTTCCTTATTTAAGTTCCTAGTTTTGTGCGCTTAGTTCTTTTTGTACTTTCAGGGTTAGGATGATTGGGACCTAATAGCACAGTGATAACTGTGGAACTTGGTGGCAGCCTTTCTTAACCAGGTCTCTGCAGAGAATAGAGCCCTAATGTCCTAAGTCATCTCCTGTATGACAGCTAATTAGCTTTTTTCTCCCGTGCTCTTAGAATGATTCTAGTTTTTGTAACATCCTTCTGAAATACGAGAAAACAGTCAAATAATCTGTGTTTAGTGTTTCAGCTGAGGAACTCCAGTTGCGAGAGTGTGGAAGGGGATCTAAGAAATTACTTGTTCCCATTACATGATAGGAACTCAAATCAATACGTCAATACCTTAAGTCCTAGTTGATACAGGGATATGGAATACACTGTGTAAAAACATCTTTATATTGGCATTTGCTTTACTTCTATTTTTTTTCACTTCTATTTCAATGGGTAGGTTTACCAGGGAAACTTAATAGGAGCATATTTCTCCTCATCCTGAGATTTAGGAAGCCAGATGATGAGTCTTATTTTATATTTATTTTCAGATAATGAATCTTACTGTAAAAAATTACATGTGATTATACTTCACATTGACTTAATTTTAGTATGTCTTATAGTATTAATGTGTTTATTCAGTTACAAATTGTATAAATGTTTGGGCATATGTAAAGTAATTCCCTCTGAAAATTGAGAAAAATTATTTCAAATTGGGAAGTTTTGCTGTAATTTCGTAAAACTTATCTTAATTGATACCTGTGTTATTTTGTAATAAGAAAATATGGTACTAATAAGATGCAAAATTGTTTTTCTCTTTTGGGCTGTCATGTAACTTACAGAAAACCTAAACAGTATACTACTCTTTCTTTTTTAAAATAGTAGTCCAGCAAATTGAATTGTTAGTAGTTTCATCATAATGAATTACAAATTGAGTGAGATTTTCTGTGTCAGTTTTATGTTTTGAGTATTTTAGCTGCATACAATCTTACTCAGTTCTTTGATATTTTAGTGTACAGAAATTTTAGTGTACAGAAATTCATTGGAAGAAATATCCTAGCATTTCCTAGAACTGAACAGTTTTTCTTATTTTTGCTATTTCTTTTGGAGTGCTAAGTCTAGAAGTACTAAAGTGGACAAAAGCCTTCTCTTGTCTATCACCTTTGTTTTAAAACAGGCCTTTAGTGACATATAGGCTAATATTTAAAAGCCTTGGTGGTATTTCAGGATTTTTTTGGCTTTATTTTAGGTCTACATTTTTTCCACTCTCAAGTTGTTAATGTTCATAAAATCAGTTGTTATGGGTGGTAGGATGGTCTTTAATGATCCAGCAAGGGTAGGAAAGGTAAATTGGACTATAAAGACATACAAGTGAATGGAGATTATTTCTAGAGGTAGCATGTGGGCTTCATAACCATACATGAGTCTAGAAGTGAAAGTGTAAAATGAATTAATCTAGATAGTTAACTGGTGGTACTCCATTGTTTCTGCCTTCTCCTAATTGGCTTGCCTCTGTTAGGGTCTGTTGTCACCTTGAGTGTTTCAGTAGTCTGACTCTAATTCATACGCCTTCTGTTATTTAGGAAACATCTTATGTTGAAGGAGTGGGGGTTATCTCTTAAAACGGAATATGTTAAATGAAGTCTATATTTCTAGACAGATTTCTCTTAATCTTCCAGAAAGATGCAGGTTTTTAAGGTAGTGAATTATCTCCATTAATTGTTAATGAATCATTCTCCGTCATTCACTTCTTACCAGTATCTGGTGCCAAAATATTTGAATTTGGGATACTGTGATTAATCTACTTCCTATTTCTGAATTTTCTTTTATTCATTTGAAAACCTTTATGTAGTGTGGCAGAAGAGAAATACCTCCTTCTTCCTAAGAAAAATTACACTTCTAATTACCAACCTGGTCACTGCCCAAAAGAACAACTCTGGTGGTTCATGTTTCTCAATTGTAATCCCACATATCTTTAAACACTGTAGGAGATACCTGGGGTTGTATGCTTTGTTATGTTGAAGTGTGGGCTCTGCCTGGAAGTTTGCTTTGGGACTGTTTTGAAAATTCTCTTTTTTTCTGCATTTTCATCTCCAGCTTTCTTTTATTATTTTTTTCTCCTGAAAGTTCTCTTGTCCGCAGGGTAGAAGGTGGGCTGGAGGAAGGAGTGGTTTGTGTTGCAGTGGGCATCGTCTGATATGAAAGGTGCCTTACCTGAGTACTTTCGATGTTTTGCTAGTTGCAAAGCCAGTCCTTGTAGTAAGGATAGTGCCTCCAGCCTATCCCCAGCCCCCTCCAGTTTGATTGCTTTGCCTGGTAACCAGTAACCACTTACTGGTTACTTACTGGTTCATTCTTGTTTTTTGGTTACCAATAAAGTTAATTGGGTACAAGCTTTTAAAATACTGATTATTCTGTGTTTATAGGGAGAATTGCCTTAACGTTATACTTAACTGCGTATACCGGATATGTGCATGATTGGGTATACTAGCAAATGGGTTTTAAAAAAGTATAGGGACAGTTTTATATAGCAAAGTACTTAAAAAAATTTGTTTTAAGATTTTATTTATTTGACACAGAGAGAGAACACAAGCAGGGGGAATGGGAGAGGGATAAGCAGGCTTCCCGCTGAGCAGGGAGCCCAGTGAGGGGCTCGATCCCAGGACCCTGGGATGTCTTAATTGTGCATTTACTTGACAGGTATTAACTAATGAATTAGGTTTGTTCTACTGTTGTTTAAGTGTTTAGAAATTGGGGAAAACATGTTTTTTGTATAAACAGCGAAGGGTTCAGAAAACCGTAAGGTTTGATTACAAGTTTTCTATTTTCCTTATTAACAAATTCTTATACATTTTATTGTCCAAAACAACACATATCTGTTATCTCAGTTTCTATAGGTGAGTCTGGGTTCCGTTTAGCGTGGGTCTGCAAGACTGCAACAAAGGTATGCCAGGACTGGGTTGTTACTTAGAGAGTTAGCTGGGGAAGGGTCTATTTTCAAGCTGCCTCAAGTTGGCAGAATTTATTTGCTTGTATTTGCTAAGCCCATGACATCTTGCCGCTTCAAAGGCAGCGAAGGAGACAACCCAGCGAGGTAAGCTGGTGCTACATTATGGAAATGTGATCACATAAAGACCACTGCTTTCCTTTGAACCCT